GCTACGGGTTATCGAAATAGGAACGAGATGGACGACCTTCATTTTGTTGTATGCGTGGAGGAGGATCGAGCGGTCAGACTAACAACAGAGACTTATATTCGTTGCCACGCCATTGAACATATTCGGGTGCTTATGTCTAAGCCGAATCGATCGTACTTCACTACCAAAATCCTGAAGTTCGTGAAAGGTGATCAAATGTATGACATCGTTTGACCCCTTGTGCATCGAATACTCTCGACCCATTATGGCACTGTTAGTCGCGCCGGATTATGGCGCCTTGTCGTGAGCGAACCCTTTTTTGTGGGTAATGGCGACGATTTTTCTGGGATGTTCTATCCTTGATGTGAGATCCGGTGCTGACGAGCATGCGTTTATTGTTAATTTTTATTTTCTCATACATGGACATTCGTCATTGCGAGCGCGAGCGACGGTTCTATTACTGTACAGCCATGCAAAACAGAACGGTCAATCAATGATTGATTGCTTTATTGGTTTATTGTTTTGTTGATTTATTGGTTTGTTGATTTATCAATCGTATTATATAACAATTGTTTTAATTTTGTGTTTTTTTTTAATTATTTTCGAGTGAATGTCACTCCGTACTGATAATTTATGTGAATCACACAATAATAATGTCACACCCGACACCTGTCATATTACACCGTCCACCAATCATTCGTTCGGTCACTCTTTGAACTAATCGTTCATACGTAAAAACTATTTGTTCATCATGCGATCATTCAATGAATAATCCATTCAAAAGATAATTCGGTTTATCAATTAATCAGTCAATCAATAAATCAATCAATCAATGAATCAATGAATCAATCAATCATCGTATATATGCCCTACATATTGTAATGAAGGGAACTGTCCACAAATCGTTTTGATAAAATTCCAAAGAATGTACACAGAACACGGGGAAGTTGTCTGGTCAATAAATCATTTGTATTCACAAACACAGACACGTTGGCTCGCGATATGCAGAAATCTATAACAATGAAATCTGCAGAAGACAACACTGCGGACCGCAACATTCGGGGGAGGTTGGCGGCTGTCGACGAGAGTTTGTGTTGTCTCGACGAATCTATGGAGGCAGTTGCTGCAAGTGTGCGTGATGTCGATGCCGCTCTCGGTCGACTGCAAAACGCTGACACCTGTGAAAAAAATGACGGAAAAAAAAAGCGAGATCCCTTGCTTCCGTCTTCCAATTTTCTTGGAGCGTGCGCGAGCTCGTAGGACGAACTACAAAGGGATAATGACATACGACCATGAGTACGGGGAGGGCTTGTCACACGATGTTAGCAACGGGCAGAAAGACAAAGAAAGCGAGCCGGAAAAGGATGCCGAAAAAAACAAAGCACGAAATTGCAGTACATCTGGAAAGGCTTCAAAACCCAAATGCATTTGGACTTGCAGGAAGAAAAAGGACAGGGAGTTGCTAAAGGGACATGAATGCTTTGAGTGCAAACATTTTCGTGATGCGGTTGGTGTGCACGAAAAAGAACGACATGAAATTGTGCAAGAATGTTCACGACACAAGGATAACCAACATAGACCGTCGACACCGCCTGGTTTTTGGAACATAGTTTTCTCTGATTCAGAAAAGTAAGGATGCTTTAGAGAGAGAGAGAGAGAGAGAGAGAGAGAGAGAGAGAGAGAGAGAGAGAGAGAGAGAGAGAGAGAGAGAGAGAGAGAGAGAGAGA